AAAAGAATGAGAGACAAAAGAAGATAGGATATAACCCAGTAAGCATTAAAAATATATAAAGGTGTTCTCTGCAAAAGGTGTTCAGCTCATTTTCTTCGCAAAACAGAAAGGAGAATTCTACTGCCTGAGGGTTATAATCGCTAAGTGCGGCCGAAGGCCGCCCACGCAGAAAGGTGTTCTCTGCAAAAGGTGTTCAGCCCCCCTTCTTTGGCAACACTGAAAGGAGAATTCTACTGCCTGAGGGTTATAAACCCTAAGTGCGGCCGAAGGCCGCCTACGCAGAAAGGAATTCTACGCAAAAATACATATGTTAAAAAGAAATTTTTTTTTATAAAAACTTGTTTATTCTATTTCTAATTAACTTTTTTATTCTTTATTCAAAATCTCCCGATATCTAAGTTGCCATAATTTTTTTTATTAAAAAATCCCACGGTTTCTGTTAGTTGCGTCATATTCCACTTCAAACTGCTCAGTTTGCCTAAGAAAATTTTTTTTCCCCCTTTTTCAAACGGTTCCCTTTTTAGAAAGCGGGGACTGTCCCCTTTCTATTGGGGGGAGTTTGGGGGCCCCGCCCCTCCCCCTTCGCCCCCCCACCCCAAAAACGATGTGAGCCCTACTAAACATTCCCCAATTTTAGTTATCAAAGTGCAAGTTTGAAACGGCTACAAAATACCGTTGATTTTTGGTAGTTTTTTTTTTGTCGGCGGTGCCATGCATTCTTTTCCCTACAAGGAATGCCCGACAATGGAGAAAATGAGCAACGGCTTCAGCAAAACAAGTTGAAAAAATCAACGGTAAGACCTACTCACTTCAAACTTGCACTTTATTGTACTAAAGTTGAATGGCTTAAACTAAGATTTTCATATAACTCTGTTAAATTTTCCAATTTTTCCACAAAGATGGAAATGAGGGCTTTCATTTTGTTAGATAACGAGCTATACTTTTATAGAAATAATAAAAATTAAATAAACACAAGCAAAATAGATAAAACTTGCGAAAATTTCCCGATCCTATTTGTTTTTTCGCCACTGTATATCAAAACT